CGCGCGCCCGCCCCCCCGCCCCGCAACCCACATCCGCTTTACGTCAGGGATTTAATCAAGAAAGCGGAGCTCGTTTGACGCCAGGTGCAGGTTGTTCTCTGGTTATGGCGGAAGAAGCCAACGACACCGGTGACCACACGAGGAATGGAACGGAAGAGGGGACAAGGAGGGAATAGGGGAGGGAGGGGAAGACCTTGTTCATCAAGAAGAGGTACGGAGAGGATGGCTAGTGGCTTGCGGTGGCCGATGGGAGATGATGCCACGTGTCCTGCTGCTGTTATCAACCACTGGGCTGGCTAATGAGATGATGCCGCACGTCCTACCAAGCGTCCATCTCTTCTGTTCACCACCACTAGGTCCACTACTACTCTCGGCGTGGATACTCTTCTCTCTAATTGCATTGGTGCCGAAATTTGGCGCTGAGATGTGTTGCTACCTTGCATGCCAATTCATCTGCGATATGCCAAACAGCTCGCCAGTGGCCAACTTCGCTAGCATAGCCACTCGCCAACTTCGCTAATATAAGACGCCCTGCACTGGACTGTTAGCCAAACTCGTAGCTGTTAGCCAATCTATGTGGTGAGCATTGGCTGTCAGATGATGGCTAGTAGCTATATGTCATGCCCTTCATGACTACCTTTAAAAAAGGGTACGATACAACGTACCCGGTACAACGTACGGGGTACGTTGTATTCGAATGGAACGTGCGTACGTTACAGAACGAGTTTTAGGGTACAAGTTTTTTTTTTTTGTTTTTTTTTTTTACAAAGAAAGAAATTCATTATAACCAAGTAACTTGAGGCCGGGGACCCCACAATCCTGGCAGCATCAGCCAGTTTAGCTTACGAGCACCTGCTCGCCAGTTCAAAAGAACTGAGACAACAAACCCTTATTATGAAGTGGACTTAGAACCAGTTCTAGGAACAGAAATGGCCAAAACCAGACCGCTGTCCTGAAGTTCTAGTCCCTTATTACAAATAAACCAATGCGACAGACCTGCAAAAACCAAACAAACCCAAAAAGAGAAGACAAAACAACCACCAGCAAAAGAAAGATCGAAAATAGCCAGAAAGCGAAAACCCCAAGCCTAAAAAGTTAACCCAACCACCTACATCTTCCCAACATAAAGAGAAGTAAAGTAACAACCCCGGGTAAAAGGAGGGGACCTGGTTGGCGGCGGGGCCGAAGCGCACAAAGCTGAGCAGTGTTAGCGCATAGAAGTCTAGGGTTTCCTGACGGAACACGGCCGCCATATCCCGGGTGCGAAGCACGGGAAGGGTGGTGTCTCAAGGCAGCAGCCTCGTAGCACTGCAGGGGGGTTGGATGCGTTGAGCGAGTTTGTCCCCGGGGCAGGAGGTAAGGAGGGAATGGGAGTGAGGAGTTCCTTTGGTTACTGAGATTTCGAATCTCGAACTTATCCGAACATACCGACTTGAAGAACGCGACTTGAAGAACGCGACATCGTATAGTCGCGTCCTTCCCATGGAACAGGGAAGATTTCTCTGGAACCAGGAGGAATAGCACGGCAGGAAGGCAACAGGAAGCGACAAGGAGGATCAATCACAGGGCGGGAGGGCGACACGAAGCAGGTACATTTCGCCCCATACACTCTGGCATGTTTCTCTCCTGTTTCAGCGGCCTCAGAGAATTTCTCCCTACTAACTTGAGAGATAATCGAACAATTGTTACAAGCGTGTCCACTGTCTCCAAAACAGAAGACAGCGAGTAGGACGGGAGCGGGGAGCTGACATTTCATCCTAAGGTAGTAAGGTGAAGAAGCGCCCACATTACGCCGGCTACCTAAGAGCTACTATATTTCTTTCCCACCTCTTACTACTACTTTCCTCTTTTGGAATGGACAAGGGCGGCCGCTTTTGAGAACTGAAAAATAGAAAAGGAGAAATCCTTCGACCTCTCCTCGCGGTTTTTTTTTTTTTTTGCGTCTTTTATGTATTTTTCTTTTCTATTTTCTTTTTCCGCTCGAAAGCTCTGACAAGGGGGGCTTGCCCCCAAGGACTCTGACGAAAGGGGGGGGGCACGCGGGTTAGGAGAAAGGGGATCGTAAAAGGGGGTGCCACGGGGAGACTTTTTAGAGAGGGCCTGACTTTCATTCAATCATTCCGCACCAGGACGGAAACCTAGAACGGGTTCGTCCACTTCTTAGGCCGAAAATCCGGGAGGAGGTGAGGGAACGGTTCTCTCTGTAGTAGTCAAAAGGCCATATTCGCCACAAAACGACGAAGTATTCACATAGACAGCGGACTGGTCTGGCCAGCAGTCGCAGTTCAACAGGAATGTCGGCAAATACGCCAACGGGGATACCCGGATAGAGTCCCCCAAGATTTCAGCAAGTCATCTTACCGTGTCAGTAAGAGGCAGCGCGGTGCGCACGTGTCATTAGTAGTAAGAGAATATATCGCGCTTCTTCTTTCTTTTTTCTTTTCTTTCTTTTTTCGCAACGAGGACAGGCGAGTGTGGCACAGGCAGCTCCTTTGTCCGTGGATGGTAGCCCTGGCTCATACGTAAGCCTGTATCTCTTGAAAAGGGAGACACTAATCAAAAACCCGCTCCTTTGCTGGAGAGGAACATGGGTTCAAACGGTAATCCGTTCCAGAATCTGTCCTTTAACGGAGGGCCGACTTACGCACAAGTAACAGGGGATTTGGCAAACGGGGAACCAACAGTGTTCACGTGGGACGAAGTGACACCGTTCTGGAGAAAAGATAAAGCTTCGGCTGTGCCTAACCCAGGTAATGGCGAAAAGGAAGACAGGACAATGGACTGGAGGACCATTGGAAAAGGAAGTAAAAACGCGAATCCGACCCTAACTGAAGCAGGGAGAAACATAGCTCGAAATAAAAATGCTCCTGCCCCCTTTCTCTTCACAACAGTGTCGGTGCAAATACCCTTACAAGGGTATCCGCCCTGGTTTTTGCAAGTGACAGAAAATAGTTTGGTCTAGAGTCTAAGTATACCGCGCTAAGCGCGGCTGCGTCAGTAATTGCTTTGACAGGGTGGTTGACCGCAATAGCGAGTGCGTGGGCGCGCAGGTTTAAGGCGCGCGTGATTCTTTTCTGTTATTTTATCATAAAGCCGACAACGGACATTGGTCGTTGGTTAATGATATTATTAATATTTATTTTTTGATTTAAGCAGGGATTGAGATATTTTCTGTTGATTAGTACTTCTGACCTAGGCGAGCGCATGTGCGGAGAACGACCCCGACGACGGCATCGGCAACGACACCGCGACTTTGTGCGGTGAGCGGGGTGCCGTAGGAAGCCGCGCGGGGCAATTATGGCACGGTATAAGCAAGCCGGCGCGGGTACTGGGAGCCGTGCAGCCGTTTGTCGGCCCATAGCGCCGCGCCGTCTTATATGGCGCTCGGCGTGCCTTGGTCTCAAGCTTGGGCTTAGCCCTATAGGTTACGGTATTGGGCTACCACTATGGAGGTTCTGGGATCGAGGCCGGCGGGCGTCAGCAGTGGCAGCAGCGGAGCGGAGCGGAGCTGAGGAAACCGGGGGGTGAGGGCCCGGTAGGGGCTATCCCCCTCTGGTTTTATTGGCAAGCGCGACAATGGGTCCGCCCTGCGGCACCGATGACGTGCCAACAGCCCCGCCGCCCCCCGGTAATACTAGGTTTATTTTTTTTCCATTGTCGGCTTCTCTTTATCGCATCCCATTTTTGGACACGAGACTGCGGGAGGAGCGCGTGGGGTGTATTGCATTCCGAGGATTGTTGGAAGTGCAATTACAGACTGTTTATGCGGCCGCGCCGCGGTGTCAAGGGCGTGGCAGGCCCCAAGGGCTTAGCCCAACGACCACAGCCATGAACTGCTAAAATATGGACCTGTATCCTGGCTTACCCCGGGCCATTTTTCAGGGTCGCGGGGTACTAAAAGGGGCCGGCGGCCTTTGGTAATGCCAGGCGGCATCGCCCCGGCTGAGTCCTTCGGGACATCTTTTAAAATTGGAACGATAACAGAAAAGATTAGCATGGCCCCGGCGCAAGGATGATAGGCATAAGTCGGGGAGGGGCCCGATAGCCAAGTGTTTGTCTTTTGTTGTCCCTTGCTGACACTTGAGTGATGTCGAGCCGTGTTGTGTCGGAGAGGGGAGCGACAGGTAGTAACGCCGTACAGCAGACGGGTGGAGCGTTACAGTAGAGCGGAGACAAGCGGCCGGGGTACGAAGCACTGAGCAGGGAACGGGCAACAGCGAAGGAGTCGACCGGGCACTGGAATGGACGCGACGGGCTTGAAGGAGAAAGGAAAAACCCAGAAAATGAACCTGGGCGCAGGACCGCGCCAGGTGCATCCAACGTTGAAGGGAGACGAGATGGACATGGCGGAGGGGAGAAGCACTTACCTCGCTTGATTCTTGATAGAATCGGGCGGGTAAAAGTGCTAGATCGGGGTTTTTGGTGCTCGCGACCCCGATTCTACGACCGGATTTAGGAGAGAGGGAGTAGAATAGGAGGGGCAAAGAGAAGTGGGTGTGTAAGGCTATGGTGGAACGACGAAGGGAAGAAAGGATATCCCGCTCGATTCTTGAAAGAATCGAGCGTAGAAAGATGCAAATGCAAGGGTTAGAGGCGGGGCGAGTTCGATGATGGAGTTAGATTTAGCTATGGGTTAGTGGCTTAGAAGGTTAGTAGAGAATAGGCTGCGCGGTGGTCATCGGAAGAAAGTTTAGGAGCGAATGAAAGATAGGTATCTCGCTCGGAATCGAGCGAGGAAAGGGTCATTTTGGAAGTTTTTACTGTGGGCGAGTTGATTGATAAGATCAGTTTTGGCATAAGGTTAGTAGAACGAGAGTTAGTAGGAAAGTTTAGTGCGCCGAGCTGGCCATGGCCGAGCGATGAAGAATAGAGGTGAGATAGAACAGGGAATAGACTGCCCGATTCTCGTCGGAATCGGGCTAACCGAGGGTTGTTTTCGTGCTTTTTAGACAGGGCGATTCCAATAGTCCGGTTAGTTTTGGGAGCAATAGAGTAGATAGGAAGTTAGTGAGGGAAAGTTGTGCGCGGGGAAGTGGCGGGGGTGAGTAAAAAGAGAGAAAGCGTAGGGACAATGAATCTATCCGCATTTTAGCGGAAGATTCATTCCAATTGTGCATATCCTATCGGGTGGAATAACGAGGGGGATAATGGCGGAGGAGAAGATTTACCTGTGGGCCTTCCGGGCTCCCTCTCCAAAGCGTGAGCCGGTCGTGGTGGTCGCCCCTCACGGTTTCAAGTGAACCTGGTCATACAAACGGCCAGGCGCAGGCGCCTACAAAGGTGCAGTAGAGAACTTACGAGGTGAGCCAACGAGACGGGTAAGTGAACGCTAGGAGGTGAAAAGGAAAGAGAGTGGATAGATTCAGGGGTGTGAGAGATAGGGGCCGCGCCTGAAGATGAAACTAGCGAGCGTGGTTCTGGATTAGTGCATCTACCCGGGTTCTAGCGGAACGTGCATGGGGTCTGCTCGATAAAATCAACGGAAGTAGCAGAGCGGCCAGCTACGGGTTTGAAGTTGCAGTGCATGTTTC